CTGTCCTCTCTTTCCCCTGAGGAGATAAAGATCCATTCACCACCTAGTCCATAATTGTCTAGTGGCTCCTAAATTGACTTAAAGACAAATTCCTTACTATGGAGCAATAAGTCATGCATCTCCTGGCTGTCTCCAGCCTTCTTTATCTATCCACTGTTGTGTGTCCCCTAGTCCTGCCTCAGGGCCTTTGCTCCTGCTACCCTCTTTTTGGGAGTCTCTTCAGCTCTCATTAAATCTCTGGCAGCTTTTGTTATTTTCTTCTAGTTTCTACAGTGTAAACACCACCTTAAACAGTTATTCCCAGCACAGGTGGCTGACACCTGTAACCCTAGCCACTCTGGAGGCTGAGGATCTTGGTTTGAAGAGCCAGCCTAAGCAAGAACATCCCTCAGACTCTTATCTCCAATTAATCAGCCAAAAGCTGATAGTGGAACTAAGGCTCAAGTGATAGCATGAGCCTTGAACAAAAAATTCCAGGGATAGTACCCAGGTCTGGAGTTCAGAATCTAGTATCAGTGCAAAACACAAACAGAAGTTTCTTTGCCACTTTATATAAAAGATCGCCTGTATCCTCCTTGCCTTACTTGCCTTTCTCTAGCCTGCTTTTTATTATTGTTTATTGACAATTCATCCTAATAGTCCTATTAAGAATGCCAGCTCCAGGGGGCAGGGATTTTGCTGTCTTATTAATGGCTGCATCCCCAGTGCTCAGGGAAATCCCTGGTACATAGTAGTTGTTCAATAAAGGATGGAAAGGAGAGAGGGAGGAAACCCAGTAATGTGAAGCATGCTTTAGCATCTACTGTGTGTTTCTCATCTACTATCCAGAGCCCCTCTGGTGGGTAGTATTGATATTACAAATGGAGAAATGGGACTCAGAATAGACTTGCTAATAGATTTCTTCTCACTGTGTCTCTTGTTCCACTCTCACAGACAATTACAATGGAGAGCCAAGAAGGTATAAGAGATCAAGTTTGAGACCCCAGAGGATTTGCCTAAGAATGAAATCTCAGACCTATTTGCTCTAAGGCTGTGTGTGCAGCTCTGAGTAGATGAGTCTTTTTTTTTTTTGTCAGTTGTGGAGCTTGAACTCTGGGCCTGGACACTGTCCCTTAGCTCTTTAGCTCAAGGCATGTACTCTACCACTTGAGCTACAGCACCACTTCCAGTTTTCTTGTGGTTAATTGTCTGGGCTAGCTTTGAATCTCCATCCTCAGATCTCAGCCTCCTCAGTAGCTAAGATTACAGGTGTGAGTGACCGGTGCCCAGCCAAAGATAATTTTTGTGTTTATTTTTCAAAAATATTTACACACAGGCCAGGGACCAGGATGCAGAAATACATGTGATCTCAGTTCTGTAAATGTGTCATATCCACCAGTAGGAATAATTTTGAAGAATACACAGTAAAATGGTGACCACAATTTATTACTTATGGTAAAAATTTAAATGTATTTCCACCAAGCAGCAGTGTTTCATGCTTGTAATCCTAGCCACTAAGGAGGCTGAGAACTGAGGATCACTATTTGAAGTCTTGAGACTCTTATTTTCAATTAACCACCCAAAAGCCAGAGTGGGGATGTGGCTCATGTGGTAGAGCACTAACCTAGAACAAAAAAGCTTAGGGACAGTGTTCAGGCCCTGAGTTCAACAAGCCCTAGCACTAGCATACACATAAACACAAAAGTCTTTTCACTTTCCTCATAGTCTTTTTGTAGAGTATGCAAATTTCTCATCCTGAGCATGTTAATATTCCAGAATGTAAACCATAATTGATAATTATTTTTAATAATATAACTAGTGGACAAGAAACTTAACTTGCTCATTCTCTTCCATTGAGCCCTCTTGGGCTCTTTTGTCTTTGGAGAAAAGGCTTGTTTGTTGGAAGGGTGGCAGCCATGGCAGATATTCCTCTGGCATACATATATAGCCTTTCTAAAGTGCCATGGGTATTGCTATCTCCTATTTACTTAGCAAAGACCATACATACACTCCTAAGTGGCTTTTCCTCACTGTCATCTGGCCTGGCCTGGTGTTTATCCTTCATTAATGGAAGGGGCATGGCTAGAGCAGATGGCAGGCAGTGTGTACCCCTCTCTTCTGCCACCCATTTTTATCCTGCTGTCACTAGGTAAAGAAAAACATTCATTTGGCACTGGGCACTTGTTTGGGACATGAACATTTCCCACATCAAACCCAGTGCATCCGCCTTGTTAGACAAATGATTTTTTTTTTTTTTTTGGTCAGTTGTAGGGCCTGAACTCTGGGCCTGGGCGCTGTCCCTCAGCTCTTCAGCTCGAGGCTAGCACTCTACCACTTGAGCTGTAGCGTCACTTCCGACTTTTTCTGCTTACGTGGTGCTGAGGAATTGAACCTACAGCCTCATGCCTGCAAGACAAGCACTCTACCATTGAGCCACCTTCCCAGCCAACAAATGGTATATCTTAAGCTAATTCTTCAGCACTTGAGCCTATAATTTTTTTATTTTTGGTCGTGGGTCCTGAACTCTGGGCCTGGGCGCTGTCCCTCAGCTCTTCAGCTCAAGGCTAGTGCTCTACCACTTGAGCCACAGTGCCACTTCTGGCTTTTTTCTGCTTATCTGGTGCTGAGGAATCGAACTGAGGGCCTCATGCATGTGAGACAAGCACTCTACCACTGAGCCACCTTCCCAGCCCCAGTTTATGAGACTGGGAACTCTTATCTCCAATAAACCATCAGAAAAGGTGTGGGAAGGTGATTCAATGGTAGAAAGCTTGCATGCATGAGGCCCTGTATTCAAGGCCCAGAGTTCAGGCCCCATGGTGGAACAAAACAAAACAAAACAAAAACAAACAATAAAACCACCAGAAAACCAGAAGTGGCACTGTGGTTCAAATGGTAGAGCATTAACCTTAAGCTGAAGAGCTGAGGACAGCGCCCAGGCCCAGAGTTCATGCCTCAGAACCAAAGGGAGGAAAAAAACAAAACAAAACAAAACAAAAAAACAGGGGAAGATGGTATATAAATCCATTTAATGAATTAAAAAAAAAGCCAACAAGGGGCTGGGAAGGTGGCTCAATGGTAGAATGCTTGCCTTGAGCTGAAGAGCTGAGGGACAGTGCCCAGGCCCAGAGTTCAAGCCCCACAACCAGCAAAAAAAAAAAAAAAAAGCCAACAACTTAAGCTACTAACACACAGAATAACAGTTGACTCCAAGTCTATGTTGGCCAAGAGGAACTAAAAGGGACAGGGTAATAGCTTTTGAATTTATTTACAAGCAGTTCCACAAACGCAAGCTGGTGCCCCATGACAGAAAGCAAATCAGTGGTTACTTGGATCCAGATAAAGATGGAAGGATGATTGCAAAGACAGGGAAAAAATTATTCTTCTTATTCTTGTGCCGACAGTGAGACTTGAACACAAAGCCTAGGCACTATCTCTGAACTTTTTGTTTCACAAGGTTAGTGCTCTACTTCCTGCTTTTTTGGTGGTTAATTGGACATGAAAGTCTCATGGTACTTGCCCTGGATGGCTTTGAATAGTGATCCTCAGATCTCAGCCTCCTGAGTAGCTAGGATGACAGGTGTGATCTACCAGTGCCTGGTGAGTGGGAGGAATTTTATTTTACAACGGTCAAAGCTTATCAAATATCACTTTTTTTTTGTCAGTCATGGGGCTTGAACTCTGGGCCTGGGTGCTGTCTACTGGAGAGAAGAGTCTCACGGACTTTCCTGCCCAGGCTGGCTTTGAACTATGATCCTCAGATCTCAGCCTCCTGAGTCGCTAGGATTACAGGCATGAGCCACCAGTGCCCAGCTTATACTTCTTTTTGTTATTGTTGTTGGTCCTGGAGCCTGAACTCTGGGCCTGGACGCTGTCCCTCAGCTCTTCAGCTCAAGGCTTGCACTCTACCACTTGAGCCACAACGCCACTTTTGGCTTTTTCTGCTTATGTGGTGCTGAGGAATTGAACCCCCAGCCTCATGCCTGCAAGGCAAGCATTCTACCACTGAGCTACTTTCCCAGCCCTTCGAATATCACTCTTTATTTTTATTTATTTTTGTTTTTAAATCTTAAAAAAAACCAAAAACAACCCTTAAGTTTAGCTGGCACTGGTGGCTCACGCTTGTAATCCTGGTACTGAAGAGACTGAAGATCTGAGGATCACAATGCGAAGGCAGCCTAGGTAGGAAAGTACATGAGACTCTTATTTTCAATTAACCACACAGAAAAAAAAACAAACTGGAAGTGGAGCTGTGCTCAAGTGGTAGAGCACTAGGCATGAGCAAAAAAAGTTAGGGGCAGTACCCAGGCCGAGTTCAAACCCCAGTACTGCCAAAATAAATACATTAATGAAAACACCCACATATTTATTCCCACGTAAATATCACTCTTTAATAGTTCATTATATCTAAAGTACAGCGGAGCCTGGTGTGGTGGTTCATGCCTTTATTCCTCACTGTGAGCATTAACTACACGGCGTGTATAAAAGCAGCCCTTGAGTCTAATTAAAGAGCTCGGTAATAATGGTAGCTAACAGCTATTAACATTAATATTTTAGACATTCAGAGCACTGTGTGTCAAAAAGCGGAAGTACTTGCACAAACGCTCAGGAAAAGGCAATCAGGCCTGTACCTGGAATACCCAGGTGAGACCTAGTTCCATCCTCCGAAGCCTCGCCCCAAGACTCCGCCCTCGCGCCCGGGCGGCTGCTCCGGCTACATCCGGAAGCCCCAGCCTAGAAGGTGGGCGGGGATCGTGACGGGAACGCGTAGCGCAGGAGGGGCGGGCCTGAAGATCAAGGAGGAACCGGGATAGGGCGTAGGTTCGCGCGGAAGGGGCGGGTCAGGTCAGAGGGCGGGGTTTAGCGTGAGCCATCTGTGGTCCGGCTTCCGCGTGCGTTGGTCTGGCGAGCGTGAGCGCGCTCCAGGGGCGTGTTTAGAGGACGGGGCGGGGCTAATCAGGGGGCCGGGCTGCGCGCGGCCTAACGGCGGCGGCGGTGGCAGCAGCCGCGGCGGCGTCGCTGGTATTGGTGAGCTGGGCGCCTGCTGGTCGCGCGGCGGCGCTTGCAAAGGACCTCGGCCTTGGGTCGAGGCGTGTGGCGCGCGGAGCGCGACGTTCTGGGCTCGGCGATGGTGGGCGTCCCTGGAGCGGCCGCCTTCCAGCGTGAGTGAGGCGGGGAGGCGGGCGGTTGAGGGGGGCGTGTGAGGGGCCTGCTGCTCTACCGGCGCGACATGCCCAGGGAGCGGCTGGGGCTCGAGGCCGGGGCGGGGAAACTGAGGCCGAAGCCGAGCGGGGGATCCAAGGTCACGCGACGTCCCGGTCCCTCGCGGGTCCCCAGGCCACCTTGGTGTTTTCTACGTCGCCGGAGGGTTCGGAGCTCGTGGTGCGAGAGAAACTGGGCACCGCGGCCTCGCCAGCCCAGGCCCGGCAGGCGGCCGTCTGACTAGCTTGCGGACAAGTATTGTTTTGTTTTCCTGGCGCGGGGGCCCCAAGTCCGGTCCGAGAAAGTAGCGCGCCCCTGGGTTTTGAGGGATGTGTGGTCGGTGTGGGTGGAGGGCGAGGCTGGCCTGCCTGAGGGGGCCTGTGAGTTGCAGGCTAAGGGGTGGCATTGCCGGGGTTCGAATCCCCCCCCCTTTTTTTTTTTACTGACCGTGACCTTGGCTCTCCCGGAGTCTCAGTTGCCCTGGCTGAAAAATGGGATTTGAAGAGTCGTTGTTTTCCATTTCCCCGGAGTTGTGGGGTTTAGGGAAGACCAGTCGGACGGAGCAGAGACCTCCCCCCCCCTCCCGCTCACGTCCACGCGTGAAAACTGTCACCGTCCTAATCGCGGTTTATCGATGGCATACTGTGTGAGCCTGCCCGGGAAAAGTCCGAAATTAGGCTCTGGTTGTGTATTTGATAACGATTTGCATTTTGTGTACGGTTCTATTCTGCAATCCAGTTGTGTTCTAACCTCCATTTCGCCATTCAGGCATTTATCTAGTGTTTCTTCTAGAAATGTGAGATCTTTGGGGGAAGGGTGGTGGTATCTCTTAATAAGTACAATAAAAATTTAATTGCTTCTCGTTTCGGTGGTGGTAATAGCCAGCATTTTTTTGAGCACCAGGCATTTTGCCTAAGATTCGTTTAATATTTATTAAATCGCCTCAAGGAAAAAGTACCATGCTAGGCCCTGAGAATTGACCACTCTTTAGGAGAGGGAAGAGACTCACTAAATAAGGAAACTTATTTGCTAAGTCTGTTTTGCATGTTTTCTTCTATTAAAGCCTGATGACAACCTACATAACAATTAGGTATTTGAATGTATCCATTTGGCCAGGGAAGAAACTGAGGGGCAATAAGAACTCTGCTCTTGCCCCTGAGCAAAGTTTTTAAACATTTACATAGTATTGTTTGTTTGTCTGTTTGTTTGGACTGAGTAAATACTGGATTGAAGAAATGGAAAGGTAGATCAGATTCATCCAGTTAATGGCTTTTCAAAATCAAGTCTACAGTTGCTGTGTTATAAGGTTTCTTGGTCCATTTCTTGTGGAATTTACCACTCCAGAGAGGCAGACTGGTAACCCTTTCGGTCTGACAATACAGTAAATGGACTTTTCACTGAACTTAAAATTATGTCCAAATCTTTTGTTGTTTTACTTTTTAATACCCCCAAAGTACAATTTTTTGGTTCTGTTATGTAACTTAAAGAAAAAGTTTTCCTAAGAGAATTCTCTTAAATTCCTAGACAGTGTGCTTAGTGTACTTTTTCTTTTATTTGTTTATTTTTTGCTGTGCTGGCAACCAAACCCAGGCCTTGTACATTCACCACTGAGCTAACATCCCAAACATTTTAACTTTGCCTTTTTGGGGGTGGGGGTGGGAGAGAGGAGAGAGGTTTCACTACATATTAGCCCAAGCTGGCATGGAACTCTTGACCTTCCTGCTTCAGCCTCCTGAGTGCTGGAATTACTGGCATGTGCCACCATGCCTGGCTCTACTTTTTTTTTTTTTAATCAGGAAGAATGTATTACGTTACTTTGAAATGAGATGTTATTAACAGAGCTTTTTTTTTTTTTTTTCCAGTGAGGTTCTTAAGCTGCATTTAAGTTCAAAATTGACCATATGGTAGTCACTCTGGAAGCCTACGTACATTTCCCCTCTTTCCTTATCTTTTTCTTTCCCTTTCTCCTTTTAAGTTTTTTTTTTAAATGCAAGCCTCCAGTCTATGTTGGGCAAATGCTCTACCACTTAATTAGATTCCCCACTCTGATTATATATGTGTATATATATATATATATATTTAATTTACAGAGGGGTTACAGTTACATAGGTCAAGTACTGAGTACATTTCTTTTTGAACAGTTGTCACCTCTTTCCTCATTTCCTCACAGATTTTTCTCTCCTGAACCCCATCCCTCCCCAAAGTGGTGTAAATTCATTTTCAGCATAGTCCTGTCAGGCTTTTATAATTATCTGTAGTGCTGGTGAGAGAGAATGTAAGAAGCAGCTCAGTCCTACATCCTAACTGATATCTCTTGAGAAGTAGTCTAGTGGGCTCATAGCATCAGGAAATATACTTTCATATGCATATATATTAATATTTATTTTGCTTGCTCCTTCCTTTTTTCCTTCCTTCCCTTCCTTCTTCCTTCCTTCCTTGGGTTTTGAACACCAGGAACTCCTTCCTGCTCCTTAGGTAAGCACTCTATCACTGAATTGCATTCCTTGAATATTTATTTTGTATTTATTTCCAGAACTGGGGCTTGAACTCAGTCCCTTCCTGGGTGCTGTCCCTTAACTTTATTGTTCAAGGCTGGTGTTCTAACACTGAGATGCAAACCCACATCTGGCTTTTGCTGTTTAATTGTAGATAAAAGTCTCATGGGCTTTTCCTGCCCCGACTGGCTTCTGACAGGGATCCTCAGATCTCAGCATCCTTAGTAGCTGGGATTATAGGTGTGAGGAGCTGATGCCTGGCTGAATATTTGTGTTAAATTACAGTTAATAGAGTGGAATGTAGTTCAATGGTAAGAGTACTTTCTTGCTTCAGACCCTGGATTGGGTCCTCGAACTTGTACCTCCCCCCACAAAAAAATAAAAAATAGAAAAGCAATAAATGAGAAGAGGGGCTCTCCCAGGTAAGCACACTGACAATGTTTCATACTTTCCATTAGTCCTTATCTATTATGCCACAGTGATGTTTTTACCCCTAACCCCAATTACTGGATGAGGGGAAAAGGGGGTAAGTTTTTTTTGTTGTTGTTGTTTTTTGGTCAGTTGTGGACCTGAACTCTGGGCCTAGGTGCTCAAGGCTAGTGCTCTACCACTTGAGCCACAGCACCACTCTCTGCTTTTTCTGCTTATGTGGTGCTGAGGAATGGAACACAGGGCCTCATGCATGCAAGGCAAGCACTCTACCACTGAGCCACCTTTCCAGCCCCAAAAGGGGCTCACACCTGTAATCCTAGCTGTTTAGGAGGCTGAGATTTGAGTATTGCAGTTTGAAGCCAGTCTAGGCAGGAAAGTGTGAGACTCAATCTCCAATAAACTACTCAGAAGAAGCTGTGAATCAACTGGTGACTCTTATATCCAATTAAGCATTCTCCCCAACAAAATACCCTAAGTGGTAGAGTGCTAGCCTTGAACAAAAAAGCTTAGAGACAACACCCAGGCTCTTGAGTTCAAGCTTCAGAAATTTACAGGGCAGAAATGTACAGGAAACAGATATAATGGTAACAGTTGAACAGAGTTTGAATTTGAGGACTATATTGGGAGTTTTTCAATCTCTGAAACTGATTTTCTTGCTTAATCTATAAATGGAGATAATTCTACTTAATTATAGTAATAATGTTAGGTGCTGGTATATATTACATAGCTCTTTTTTTTTTTTT